AAAACAAAATGTGCTACACGGGTATGTACGTGTCGTAAGAATGGCGTTACCTGCAACAATTGTAACTGTGATTCGGAACAATGTCAGAATAGAAATAAAGAGAATGTAAGTGTTATATTATTACGTATTTAGATACATATCATGTTTGTGTATCTAGATATTATATTAATTAGTATATATACGTTTAATATATGTATGCTATCAATTTTCATTTGCATTTTTCTTTCCAGTTGCGTGCTACGCTGTTTTCAGATGTTGCAATGTCAGATAAAGCGAGATGTGATTAGAAAAGAAGATGAATCATTTTTTTCCAATTGTGCATGAAAAATACATTTCATAGTATCATGCTCAATTCAAATATTGTATATATTCTAATTTTTCGTGTCACAAATATTTATTTCACTTTTCATATTTTGACATAAACTAAACATGATTCCGGGTAAGGTATAGGAAGACTCATTTGTTGGGAGGATCCCATTTGCTTACAATTCTGATGCATTCATATCCACTCATATCAGCTGATGCTTAGTAATTTTTCATTGCTTTGACCAATGAGAATATTTTATTTTTTAATTGGCCAATTAGCGATTTGCAACTTGCGATGTGCAATCGGAGCTTAGAACATACATACTGGAAGGACCATAGGTGACTGTCGATGGCATCAACATCTTTCTGTCTTTGTGTGAATTTCATCGTGATGCGTATGCATCGATTATGAATATCCATACGTTCAAACTTTAAAGCTCGCGAAACGAAAACATATAAAATTATTATTTAAAAAATGAGACGTTACTGCGTTATATGTATATTGAAATATCAATGAAGCAAAATAAAATATCTCTTCATGCGTGAGTATAGTTTATTTACTTTATAAAATTTTAATTTTAAGCCAAGCTTTAAAGTTATGTATTGAATTAATTTAAATTATATAAAAATATATAAAATATGTATATTTTAAGTGTATAGTTAATCAACAACGACCATTTGATAGCTAGGAACATTCTTTTCCATCGTTTTCAAATTTCAAATAACATTTTAATAATAACTATTCTACATTTTTTCAAGTTCGAATTACGCGGTATCATCACGTGCAAGCGTACAGCAAACAAGCATTCAGACAAGGACAGATGTTGGAGACACTTTTGTTACATTGGCTGCGTTCAGCGAATTCAACAATTGAATGAGCGTTCACTGCTATTAATATATTCTTCCAGATCTAAAATGCTGATTGAATGATCCAGAAGAAAAAAAATACACCAATAACTCACTCAACTGTTGAATTCGTTGAACACAGCCATTGGTTACATACAATAGTCCTTCCAGTATGTATGTTTTAAGAATCGGAGCTTTCTCCATTTGTTTACTTTTACGTTCCGTACAATAATATCGATTAATTACATAAATCGTATAATATTATGTATCATCAATATCCAATTACCAATTTTATAATCAAATTTATCATACAAATTGAGCAGTCATAAAGAAAATTGTCCAATTATAATCGATTATTCATTTCATACTCGATTGTGATTGGTAAATTTTCTGATTTAAGACTACGACCGCTACGACTTCAATTGTAGACTTCGCATAAGTCTTAAGCTATAAGAAATGGAATCGTAGTCAGTTATTTTTCTCGCAGCTAATTATAAATCGTAGTCAATTATTTTCTACTGTAAAAACGAATCTACTCTTACAGTTTGAGGCTTAAAATACCTATTGTAGATCTGGACTAAAGGTACGATTACATGTAGCGCGGTATGCGATGCAGAAATTAACTAGGTAACTAGGAACCGCGCAAACTATGCCACTTGCTTCTTTTCTTTATTACATGTAGCGGCATAGGCTAATGACAAATAAACTTTAACATGAATTTTTTAAAATATATTAAGGCCCAACATCAATGTCACTTTGATTTTAAGCGAGACTTAAAATGACTATTTGCCTCGTTTTAAAGCCAAAAAGAGACAGATAGGATTTTAAGCCTAATTTAAAATGAAAAGTAACGTTGGTGCAATCGGGTCTAACTTATTTTATGCATATTTCATCACACTCTTATTTTTCAACAAATTTACTTAATAATTGTATTTAAATCAATTAATTCTATTAAAAAATGCTTAGTAATGTGAATTTGGCCCGTGCCGCTTATCGCGCTACATATACGGCTGCGTTCGAATTCCTACCTGGGTACTCCCTGGATATCATCCTTGTTCTTTACCGATGATTAAACAAGGATGATATAACACTCAAGGAATATTCGGGTGGGAATCCGAACGCAGCCTAATAGAGGAAAAAAGAAGCAAGCAGCACGATTCCTATAATTACCTAGTTAGTTTCTGTATCGCATCCTAAATCCGCCAGTATAAACGCTCCCTAACTTGCGTCAGTCAATCAAATCGTCTCAATTATTATAAGAAGCTTATAGAGGCCTAGATAAAAGAGATGCGACATAGAAGGGTATGGTTTAATTGATATGTCAGAATCACGTGATCAGAGCGCCATTTTAATTCATTATTGCATCTAATACATCAAGTTATAGCTTTGTAATATACATACATATAGATTATATAGATAAAAATTAAGACAAAGCGTCGAAGTACAATAAAAAATTATTATGGTGTAAATATTCTTATTTGAGTAAATAAGTTAGTATCGAATATAATCTAATCTAACTTTTTCTTGAAAGCTGTATTAATTTGTGATTCTTTAGAGAACTTTTTTGTGCAGAAAATGCTGTGTACTTGGCTGTAAAAATGTATACAAAAAAAGAAAGTTCACATCTTTTGTTTCATTATTTCACAATAAATTCTGAGATAAGAAATATGTGGATCACTAATGCAAGGCAAATAAATGGATATTCTTGGCAGTTTACTGTCATCAGCTTATAAGATTAGAAGCACTTATACTGAATTAAAATGGCAATGGCTCCATTCGATGCGCGATGTCGTATCTTTATTATCTAGGCCTCTAATAACGTATAGTAGTACGATTTGATTGGTTGATGCAAGTTACATCGCACAAAAACTTCAGCCTAAAGCGGGGAGACTCTTGCATAACGCATAACGTGATACATAAGAAAATCAAGCAATTTTTTATTTCATGGAAAGGAAGGAATAAAAGATTTTGATTGGTTCATTTTTTTTATTCTGTGTTATGCGTTATGCAAGAGTCTATGCTCTATGTCATCTAAAGGGCTCCGTACAATAAAAGAAACAAGGAATAAAGAACAAATGATGCATTAAGTATTTTATGCGTTTAAATACTTCAACTCTGCGGTACGCACTCCTAGAATTCTAGATTTATAAGAGAAATGCGACTAGTGATAAGTGTTCCGATTACAATCTTGTTACTTAGCAGCCAATCATGAACTGATTTCTAAAATTCTTTAAAGTTTTTGATTGATCAATCCGAAGAAAGAATTTTATTAATTGATCTATAAAAAAAGAGTATATCTCAATTTCCCACATTTCTAATTGACTAATTTAAAGTAAGAGATTTTAATTGCTTTACCAATAAGAATCTTATTGGTAAAGCAATTAAAAATTATTAGGAATTGATCGATATGAGTGATGTACAATTGAACTCTATGCAAGTGCGTCGCTCTCATCAAAAAATGCTTCGAAACATTTGTAGCATCAAGTGGACCACAGCCTAAGGCTAGGGTATTCAGAACGTGCTTGCAATGATGTAAGCACGCTATAATTTACGTTACGCATACTATAGAATTTTAGAGATAAAAGCACGTTTTGAACATGGAACTAGAACTCTAATGTTGCTAATGCTTCAAAGCTTTTGATTGATCAATAAGAAGAAAGAATTTTATTAATTGACCAATCAAAAAATGCTTTGAAGCTTTCGTAGAATCAAATGAATCAATAAGTCTAGGGGCTATAATCTAGGATCTATTCAGAACGCGCTTTTATTAATAAAAGCAATAGAACTTATAGAAAGATGGAACTTATAGAAAGAATGGAATAGTCTATTCAACCAATGAGTGGAAAGTGTGAACAAGACTGAGAGAAGATGTATATTTTTCTGCTCAGTAACTTTTCTTCTTTCTGCGTATGTGCCAAAAGAGGATAGAAAAGAAATATATCTTTTGTCTCTCAGTCTTGTTCACAGCTCGATGTCCGTATTTCCCTTCCATTACTATAAAGCATTCACATGCTAGCGTCGAACAGCGTAAGAATCTCCACACAATAAAAGGAATAGAGAATAAGATTTCAACCTATCAAAAACTGTATTCCACAATGATTTCTGATGCGCCCCTAAGTGGAAACCAATCAATGAAGCGATTTTTACAATGGCGTAAAAAAATATTTTTTATACATGCCCATTTTATATCGCCCAGCTGATTGGTTGCTGTTTCCGCTGTTTGACGCTTACGTGTGAGTGCATCTTAAGTTCTATTATAAAAGCGCGCTTTTATCTTTAAAATTCTATAGTATGCGTAACATAAATTATAGCATGTTAACGCGCTAACATCGTTGTAAGCGCGTTCTGAATACGGGCCTAAAGTTTTAGTGAAAAGTGCCCTCGCTTGCCCTTGTCTTCGCTCTCACCCTCGCCTACAATTCGCGAAGTCGAAGTCATTAAATATTATTATCAGTAGTGTATTGACTAGTGTTGTCGCTTGTCAGACGTGTATATCATCCTTAGTTTGATGGCTTTCCTCGTCAGAGCAGCTGATTGCTGAGTGACGAAACTAGTTCGTTCTGAAATAGAAGACAAATTTACGTACGATCACTACAATTACATACGCGGTGAACGATCAGAGCGACTTGTTCACTTGTCATGTCAAACATAAATTATTACAAGTCTATCAATATGCGATGTCTATCAATATGGAAGACGCAGCTTGCTCGGCAGTTGTTACGCCGCCGTTAACCATATTTACCACATCATCCATAAGAAATCTGTTATTAGAAGGCTTTGATCTGTCAAGATAAACAAGAGTCGACTCTACTGTCATAGTCGAAATTTTACACTATTTACCTAACGTCATGGATGGTACTTGCCTTCATCAAGTCATCACAGCACCCATAAAAAATTTCCTGCAACTGCAACGAATCAAAGAGTAAGATGTGAATACAGATTATAAATTGCGCAATTCAATAAATTGTGTATGTGAGAATGTTATAAAGCTAATGTTTTTTAAAATGTCATTCTGACGAATGGCTTGTATAAATACAATATTAGTATGTGCCTATTTCTATATAATTTTTTAAATTTAATTCGAGTCAATAATAAAAGAATTAAGTCTCCTAATTTCCCCTAATGTTTGCTAACTCATCTTAGATAATCCGTTCTGTTCTGATTTAATTTTTATTCTTATAGTTTTGCATTTTTGCATCCTTGGAATTCAACTGGACGTTTGGCATGTAGCATCTATTTATTATGCAAAGTAATTTATATCCATGCATGAATTGATGAGTAAATATATTATCAAACAATCGGTTATACATTAGGTATTGATTGGGCACCTCTATATGAGAGATCTGACAATTGGTTGGATGATGTACAGTTATTGTTAAATATTATTAAACAAAAATTGTGAGCACAATACTTTACTACTAGCTTTGTTTTGCCAAGTCTCAGTTACAGTACGGTTAGTAAACAATAGCTGATAAATTTAATTTTGTAATATGTGATATGCATGTTGTAGCTACACTAGTTGAAAGTTCTTCTCTTTATGTATAGGATAGATGGGTCTGCAAAAAGAAATAACAAGTTATATATTTTATAATATATTATAGAAAAACATCAGACACATTTCAATGTTATCTAATTTTGTGTCCATTATTATCTAATCAAAATCACTTCCATTGAGTTTTTCTATTACCTTGCAATTATATTGTGTTACTTGAGCTCAAAAGTGATTATGCATGTATAGCAAAACCTTAAGACAGTGTACAAATTTTAACAGAATGCACTAGCACCGCTTATAGGATAATACAAGATCAAAGTATCTTCTGGCAATGTACTCTATGGACCATTCTACCGATATGGATACTCGAAAAGAAATCCTATGCTGTAGCGTGGATTATACTTTCCTCTTCTTAAAGTAGTTGAACAAGCAAGTATCTTACAGTTGCGATATAACGATATATATATATA